TCCTCGTCAAGGAAGAAGAGAAAAGAGTTCATGAGAGGAGGGAGAAGAGTCGTCCCTCGCCAGAGAAAGCGGGGAACGGACAAAGGGGGTTATGAATAAGTAAGCAGACCGCAAATCATAAAGGGCAAAGAAAAGTTTTATTCTTCGGCTCTACTGGCCGGAACATACAAATAAGCAAATGGGATTAGTCAAATCATGCAAGGAAACCATGGGGGAGCGTGGAGAGGTTTGCGGCTCTTCCAACTCATCAAAGAGAGGCTCGGGAGTCGGGGATAAGGGATTTCACCCCTCTGAACGGCCTCGGCGCGCCGCTCATCTCGGCCGATTTTCCCCATGACCCGCCGAAGCTCAGCCCCCTCCATGTAGTCCTCCACGTTAAAGGGGGGAAAGCCGAGCAGACGAAGCACACTCCTGAGGGCCTTGACACCCTCATAATATCCCTTGGCAAAGGCATCATCAGCATGATCTGCAAGCCATTCACCACCGAGTGCAGTTTTCTCCAAAAGCCGCACCCCATGAGACAAGCGATCCTTTTCAGGCACGGGCTGCAGCTCGGCCTCGAAAACTTCTCTAGCAGCTCCTCGACAATACTCATGGCGGCCTGGAGGAACTGGGTGGTTTTCTTAAATTCCTCCACATTAAGGACCAGAGTCAGAACGTCGCTAGGAAGGGATCCGACCTCAGGACGCAGGGTAGGATCTGCGACATAAACAAAGGAAATCTCATGCTTCTCAGCCAGGGCCACCTTGGAAAGCAGGCTCTGTTTCTCCTGTTGGCTCTGAGTCCGAATGGCCTGGAGCTCCTGTTGGGCCTGAGCCAAGGCTCCCTGAACCTTCTTCATCTCCGCCTGAGCAGCCTCCTGCAGCAGCATGGCTTCCTGCTCTTTCTTTAAAGCCGCATCGGCTTTTCTCTTGAGCTCGGCAAGATTCTTCTCCCGAGCGGCCCTCGCTCGCAACAAGCTTAGCCCAGCCTCCAAGAAAGAAAAGTGGGTTAGGTGGGGACGAATGGCAGATCAAGTGACGGGGGAAAATGTGAGGAACGTACCTCAAGGTTCAAAAGCAGAGCATGATCAACGGAATCGCCAGAAGAACGATCCGACAATTCCAACCCGGCCTGAAGGGCCATGTCCTTCCAGATTTCAGAAACCGGACAGACGGCGGAGGGCACCACGACGTTCATGGGTTTGGGAGTAGAGCGCTCAACACACGGCCTCTTCGGCTTTTTTCCCTTGTCCTTTTCCCCACCAGCAGGGATACCAACGCCGAGCGGATCCACATTCAGGACCCGGTTATCTTGAGAGTGATGGGCCTCAGAATTCTGCCCAGTCACCTCAGCAACCAGAAGCTACTCCGCTTCAGCAACACGCCTACTCGCCTGAGACGCGGCAGAAGAATTGGCCTCAGAAGACTAAGCGGCCCCACGAGCTTTCGTCAGCGCCGCTCGTTCCTTGTTGGCCTTGGCCTCGCGTCGGGCCACCATAGCAGCACGATCCATTTGCTCTTGAGTAGGAGGAAGACCTGAAACAAAGAAATAACGTTAGTACCGGGTGGTACGAATCACAAAAGCACTCACCTCAGGGAATGGACCGCTCGGGCCCACAAATGAACCCGAGAGAATGCCAGTCCAGGGATCACGGGCGGTACCTATCCCTGCATCGGAGAGTGTCTGGATGGTCAAGAGGTCCTTCAGCTTTTTAACGCCGCTGAGCTCATATATTTGGAGATCGTCCCCTTCTTCGGCCTCTTCACTAGAATCGCGATCGGCTGAATGCCCCATCCCCGCGGCAGGTTGCGCCACCATCGCAACGGCATTCTCGGAAACGACGTCCATGTCGACATGCTCCTCTGCATTTGAGATCGCGGCGTCAACTGTCGCCTCAGGGACCGCCATTGAAGAAGCGCTGGAACGGCCAGAACCACTCGCTCCCTCCGAGGAACGGGATCTAGGCTTCGTTGCAGAAGAAGAACTGGCTCAAGAGCCGGTAGAGGAACTAGAACCAGTAGCCGAATCGGAGGAAATTTCCATGGAACGGGCCATGGGGAGGGTTACGAAAAGAAAGGGAGAGGGGTTGGATCGAAGAATTACCTTGCGGGACCTTGGAAAAGGGACGAACGCGGAAACCAGAGACACTCGTTGGACGGCACTGGGAAATTAGGAGGAAGCAAAGGATGGAAAGCCCTAACCATGCCTGCGATCCCAATATTTATAAGGGGAGGCACCGGTTCGGTGGCCAACCCGCGAGTGACGCGTGGCAAGGAGCGTACTCAGGGTCGCGTGTCACGTAGAGACGAGCAGATGCGAAATGATTACTTTTGCGTTGGAAATTGAACCAGCCTGGACAGCTGGCACCTAGAGCCCCGCGAACAACGGCTGGAGAGCAACCGTCGCTTCGGGGAAGGAAAGTAACGGCCCGAGGTAGTACGGTGGAAGCTATCTACTTCTTTATGACCCGCGCACGCTCGGAACATCAGAAGTGGAGGACTTGTGTTGGGTTAATGGCCTAACAAGGGCCGGTCCATCAACCCCTTTGGGCCGCACGAGAACGTCTGGCAACGGGCCCAAAAGGAAGTCCGAGGGCCAAGGGACGAACGTAGCCCAGCAGGACCAAGCTTCAGGGCTCCAGGGCCAGGGGACGTACGTAGCCCAACAGGACCACGCTTCAGGGCTCCAGGGCCAGGGGACGTACGTAGTCCAGCAGGACCAAGCTTCAGGGCTCCAGGGCCAGGGGACGTACGTAGTCCAGCATGACCATGCTTCAGAGCCAAGGGCCAGGGGACGTATGTAACCCAGCAGGACCAACCTTCAGGGCTCCAGGGCCAGGGGACGTACGTAGTCCAGCATGACCAAGCTTCAGGGCCAAGGGCCAGGGGACGTACGTAGTCCAACATGACCAAGCTCCAGGGCTCCAGGGCCCGGGGACGTACGTAATCCAGCATGACCAAGCTTCAGGGCCAAGGGCCAGGGGACGTACGTAGTCCAGCATGACCAAGCTTCAGGGCCAAGGGCCAGGGGACGTACGTAGTCCATAATGACCAAGCTTTAGGGCTCAAGGACCTGGGGACGTACGCAGTCCAGCGTAACCAAGCTTCAGGATCCAGGGGACGTACGTCTTATGGGTTTTCTACCCAAGGGTCCAGGGTGCCACCAGGAAGTTGGGTCCAGCCTGAGGGACGAACGTCCCCACGTCATGGCGGGAAACCAAGATCCTGGCGGGAAACACATTAAATGCGGGAGATTTGGTGGTTGGGATTATGTCACCCACAGCCAGCCACATCAGCCCCCCAACCACCCTGGGATAATATAAATAGTCGCATTTATTTCATTGTAAAGGGTTCGCATTTTGGCTCTCTAGCATTTTAATAGCAATCACAACTCATAGCATAGCTTAGTACGTTCGGCCCTTCGGCTTGTAATCATTGAAGAGAATAAAATACAGATATTGGCCCACTCCCCATTGTCTAGTGATCTTATTTGTCCTTTCACCCATTCGAAACCCCCAGGTTACGTGTTGGGCCTGCGGGTTGAGGGGAATAAACTTCAAGAGTTAGTTTTATTTGTCTAGTGTCTAGTTTTAATTTACGCTGAAAACGTAAATGTGTGATGTTTTATCTTTTACCTTTATTGTTATCTGGGAAAAGATCAGGTGAGAAGTCCTCCTTAAGATGAGAAGTGAGAAGTAATGTCAGCCCTTGAATTTGCATCTAATCTTACAATGCAGCAAACTTATAGACCGAATACAGGAACTTATAACCAATAAATCATAACTAGAGTTGGACTCGGGCCGGGTTGGGCCCGAGCCGGGCCGCCGGTTCTGAATAGATGGGCCCGGGATCGGCCCGGGTACGCACCGGGTCCGGGTCGGGCCTATTATCAATTTTTTTTCCTCTTCCTAATTAACCCCCCTCACACCCCCCAACCCCCCAAACCACCCCAAATGGTCCAAAATACCCAGCCCAACCCGAAAATTTAAAAAAAATGAAAAAAAAATCAATTTTGGCCCGAACCGGGCTCAGGCCCGACTGGGCCTTGTTTTGGGTGACCCGAGCCCGGACCTGAATACCCACTGATCGGGCTACCCGGACCAGTCACTGACCGTGCCACCGGGTCAGGTCGGGCCGGAACAGTACCGATCCCGGGCCGGTTCTGGGTCAGACCACCCGGCCCGGGTCCACCCATAATCATAAAATTTTCCAAGTTTCTTGAGTTATTTTGACGCAGTGGCATTTTGATAATTATTTTCGAGGGATCTATAAGTTATGAGTTTGTATTTTTAGCTTATAAGTTAGACTTCGCAGTTCTCAGCCTAAGGGCACTTCTCACTAGAGATGGACCGGTTCCGATTCGGGCCTCGGTTCATGAAGGGGAGGCCCGGAACCAGCCCGAGTAACCCCGGGGTTCGGGCCAGGCCAGGCCAAGCCTCGATTCTTTTTTTATTTTTTTTTATTTTTTTGGCTTTTCCTAGTTAACCCCTTATCCTCCCCCTCACCCCCAAACCAACCCTAACCACCTCAAATGGCCCAAAATATCCAGCCCAACCCAAAAACTTAAAAAAATCAAACAATTCAAAAAAAAATTGGCCCGGCCCGGGCCCGAACCAGCCGGGCCGGTTCACCTTTTGAAGGGCCCGAGCCCGAACCGCCATCCCACCGGGCGGGTGACCCGAACCGGCCAACCAACCAGTTCACCGGGCCGGTCCGGGCCCACACAGTAACGGGTCGGTCCGGTTCTGGGCCGGTTGGCCCGGCCCGAGTCCACCCCTACTTCTCACCTGATCCACTTTATATATATCTTTATCGCATCCATTTTGTTTTACTTTTTCCCCTTATCTTTCTTTTCTTTTTAGCACTGATATCATGGACCAATTCATGTTAGCCGACCCCAAAATCTTTTGAGATTAAGGGTGGGATGTTGTTGTAGTTGTTCAGAAAACAATATACATCTTCACAAACGTGTCCTAAACTAATTGAATTTATATACGCAGTAGCTTCAATACGACAAAAAACTGAAATATATGAGCCATAACTCATAAGCATGGTAGAAAAGGTACAGATGTTCAACATCATATATGTTGTGTTTGTGGCAAACAAAATTTAAAAAAAAAAAACTGAAGGAAAATGAAAATGAAGTTTACTGGCAAAGAATTTCACTTGTACTGTTGTACAAAATGATGTATGACTTCAGTGAATAAATTTTCTGTGTGCATCTAAAATGAATGCTTTGAACAGAGATGAATATTAAAGAAAAAGGCAAATATAAATATAATGGTTAGTGCAAGAAAACAAATGTGCCCTCTTGAGGGCCGTTATTCTAACCCCTATACTCCAACTCTTGTTAACTTCACAGCTTTGATTATTGTCACTGCAACTCTCCAACAGGCGCTTCATTTAGCCACAGAAAATGAATGAAATCATACAGCTTTGCACTCACACTGACCTGGTCAGTAAATGTATATTTCAAAAAAAACTATTACAGTTAACACTAAACACTACTTTCGACAAAAAACAAAAACCTCTTATTCATGGTAGACGAGATCTAATAATGTATATATACCTTGTAAGGCGTTGGGTTCAGCCTTCTCATGTGATCAGGCCGCATTTGACTCAGATGCTCGATGCAACGCTCCCTTATCTGCTTAAGCGGCGGCAAAGTCTCTCTAGCTTTATCTTCAATATCATAAAGCAAATGTCAAATTCAAGTTGCTAAAAAGGCGATAGGCGAGCCAATCATAGGTCCTAGCATGTAGTGGGAGAATGATCAGGGCTAGCTGCGATCCAAGTGCTAATGCAGTGCCAAAGCAGAAAAAAATACTAAGCGTCCATCAAGCACCTAGCACCTAGGTGGGGGACCAGTTGAGGATAAGGCTGCAACTTGCATAGAACTGTTGATTTATAGGGGGGCGTTGATGAGGAAAAATATGACTTTTTTACTAATCATTAGTCCCCTAGAATCTATACTCTGTATTCCTATTCGTTTATCTGTCTTAATCAGGTCAATGAAGACATATAAAACTGTGTCATTATTAAGGAAAGCCAGTGACTTTTCACCACCTCTCAACTCATCAGCCTCATCTATACACATGGCAAAACCACAGCAAACGAGACTCGCATCTTATCTTCAATAGGTGCTACTCCCACCTTTTGTCCAATTGTCCCATTGCTGTTTTTCTACGAAAGGTGAATTAGAAGGGAGTATGCAAGGGCGCAAGGCCTTGTTGAAAAGAACTAAATACAAAATGCCTCCTTCAATGAAAGTACAAAATGCCTCCTTCAAGTATAACTAAATACACTGCTCACCTGTTGATCCAGTCCAGTAACACTTTAGAAGCTCCTCTACACGCTGGGGTACCACATACGCTCTTTTCGATTCACTAAACGGATGCCGACACAGAATTCTTTCACCTACCTGAATAGCAACATCAAATGTCAGAGATGATAATAAGATATCAGCCGTCTATTCTAAGGTAAATAATACTGTACTTTTTATTAGTTGCTCCATTTGGGAAGTTTTTTAATACTTGCTCCACTTTCCTAAGTGGCAAATATCATCCTATCAAAAAACATAATACCCTTTCTTTTTCATCTACTATCTCCTAATATTCAGTACCCCCAATATTTAAACTCTGTAAAACCCTAGTAGATCAACAAATAAAACACAAAGGTAGTAATGGATATATATCATGACATAACAGTTAGACCTTTGGAGAAGGTTCGTTTCCCCCCGTCATAATGTCCACAAGAGGGTATCCTTCCTTCCCATACAATCTATAACACCGCTTTTTGCAAGGAATGGACACCTAAAACCAACAAAAACACTAATTAACTTTTTGAAACAATACAGAAGAGAAGAGCAAAAGGATATTTATTTATTTCAACACACCTTGGTAACATCTTCAGAAAGCTTAATTCGAGGCTGATTATTTATTTCAACTAATTTGAAGACAACCCCTAGAGCTGCTTGAGCATAGCATGTGACCAAATGAGTTCCAATACCAAATGCATCAACTTCATGACCCTGTTGAATTTGTAAGCTTATTACCCTGTTACTCCTTGACTACAAAGACGAAGTATCATATAACACTCCGATTGTTCCCACGAACATACGACTACCCTGTTACTCCTTGACTATAGAGACAAAGTATCATTAAGGCTCCGATTGTTCCCAGGAACATACGATGTTTTCTGAGGTACTTCTTTCGGGGGAAAGATTTTCTTAGTGAGATGTTTTCCATGGATAATGATTTCCTGGTAAAAGAGTTGTTCTATGTACAATGTAAATACGGAGTATGTAACAAGGTTTGATCCACAAAATAGAAAACTCAAACTAATGAAAATGGGGAGTCATTATCCACAAAAGTCTAGTGAATCGCGAAAAACATTTTCCTTCTCGAAAATCATATTTTGGTGCCGAACAATAAGAGTTTTTTTTTTTGGAAAATGTTTTCCTGTGCTGCACACAGGCCTATCAGAAAATATTTTCTAGCAAAGTATTGTCTTGTAAACAAACGAGGCCTAAAAGTACATAGATTTCTTACACAGCATTCAAGGAAAGAAAGCTTCTTAAAATTGACATAATCATTAATACTTTTACCTGTTTATTCAGACCGTCCAGTGTCTCCTCATTAAGGTCATTGCTTGCTGTGATGCTCATATTTCCAAAACCGTGCACTCCAAACTCTTTTTCAACAACACAAAAAAACTTCCTGGCTTCACACGATTGATATGCAAGATCCCCAGAGTCTAGTCTAATGCCAACAGCTTTGTACCTGCAAACACGAATATGTAACATATTAAGTGTAATGGAAGACACAACAAACTTGAATTTGACACGACGACAGAGAGAATTTACCACATGATATGCTTAAAGTTATACTTGGTAAAATTTTATATTTTTCTTAAATCTTTCATCTGAATGGTTGCTGTGGTGAATTGCTTGTTGTGATACTTGGTATCATGTTTGTCCCAAGCCAGGATAAAGGGGGAGGGTGATGTGGTAGGCGTGTGCCGGCCAACAGTATCACTTAGTCACATGACATGAATAGAAATATGAATACCGATATCATGTATCGATTCATGTTAGCCAACCCCAATATCTTTTGGGACAAAGGCTTCGAGTCGTTGTTTCATCTGAATGGGATTTTTCTTTCATATGAAATGGTAGTATACCACGTCCATAATACAACATTATATGAATTAGAAATTGAACATTCTGAACTCACCCCAAATCATTAAGTGCAAGAGCAACAGCACAAAAATTTGGAATGCCGCTTCTAATAACCTGGTAAAACAAATTTAAATGTTGAAGGATAGAATACCAACAAGATTAAGTACAGTACTATTGAAGGATAGAATACCAACAAGATTACTATGGGTCATCCGGAAACAGTCTCTCTGTGCTTTAGTATAGGGGTAAGACTGCGTACATCCGACCCCCCCTTACCCCACCGTAGGTGGGAGCCTTTGCGGCACTGGGGTAAATGAAAATGAAATGAAAATGATGTTGTTGTTGTTGCTGCTGCTATTACTATTGCTACTATTATAGCATTTTCCCTAAGTTAAACAGCATGGATACAGTATATTGGAGGGCAACAAGATCGCTTACATCATAAGTGTCAACGAGGGCCAAAAAAGAGCCAGGAAATGCCAGTGCATATGATATGAAAGCTGCTAATTCGCTCTGGTTTGTCTCACCAAAAGTTCCACCTAGTAAGTTTAACCACTGAAATCAAGTAGACTCATCAAACAACTTTTTGTATAAATTCTAAAAGATAAGCACCCGACAACTTTTAATTACAATTTTCAACTTTGGAATAAAACAGCAACATTTTAATCTATCGGGTTAAGAATGCATCAAACTCAATGAAAGCAGTTAGAAAATACTCCCGCCGTTTCGTAATAGTATTACAGTATTAACCAATAACCATTCCTTTTTGGCAAATTCTATGGTACCCTCAAGGTACTGTACATTGCCTGCGTGGAACAATTAGAATATTGGAATTGAACAATCTAAATGTTGATAAATGATGATATAATGACTTGGACCAATCAAATGTATCGTAGGTACGGTACCCTTATTTATTTGTGAGGTACCGTAGCACTCACCTTTCTTTTTTTGGCTGTTCCAAATTAGTGTGTACGTTTCCATTTGGGAAATGGCCCCACTAATTAAATATTACACTGACCGGCTGACCCACTCTTTTTTCTTTACTTACCTTTTCTCTACTCACCCACCAAAAAATCTATCTAAAATAAACTAATTAGGGGCTCACACGCTCACTCTCTTAAACTTTATGCCAAGAAATGTGAGTAATGTTATTGTGTAACAGGAGTCTATGAGTAGATATTTCACAGAAGTTTTAACTTTCAAAGGATGAGCACAGAACACAAAACTTGGTTCAACACAACACCTGTTTTGCCTACATTCCTATATGAAACTTGTTTTGCAAAATTGTAAAACTACCAAAAGACACAGTTGTCCTGAACTGGAGCGACTGAGAGAACCAAAATGTTAGAATAGACACTAACATTTCAAAGCTGGCAGCACCAGAGAGAACCGACAGAAAAAAAAAACATGATAAAGAAAGAAAACAATAAATTATGTATATTTATATCAAATAAAGTTCAATCCAAACTTATATGATAGATAGTTATTGGGCATGTATGGGATAGCTCTAGGCCTGAAGCAAAGAAAACAACATGGCTCCTTGATAGAACACTGATAATCGATACTCAGAACAATATAGAAATCAGTAGAAATTGTAGAAGAACAGATCGAAAGCTTAATTCAATATGATGAACCGAACAGAAGGGATACAGTAGCCACAGACAATTCGAGATGCCCAGTCTGTAAGCCTATTCCAACAGAATACTTGCCTGCCTTCTCCTTTCCCCCCTTCCTTACTATTTATAGTACTTCTATTTATAGTACAAGCCCACTTATTATTATCTCTAATAATAGGCCCATTCCTATCACACTTATTATTATCTCTAATAATAGGCCCATTCCTATCAATACTCCCCCCCTAAACAACCACCTTGTCCTCAAGGTGGGTGATAGGAATCAGCCATGATCTTCCACTTCCACTTCATTCTTGCACCTCTCCCTTCCCAGAACAACATTGCATTCTGGATCTTTAGCTTCAACACTTGAGCCATCCTCTTTACCTCCACCATCGCATTGAGCAGAGGCAATGACACTGTTGGGTCATGCTTCCCCGCTTTGTCACTCCATCCAAGTGATTCCTGAATCTTGCCGTTGTCATTACTTTGGAGGATTATTCCTTCAGGCTGCTCCAACACTTCTAGAGCCTCAGAGTTGGTAAAAAGATCTGCCCTGAAAGTAGCTCATAGTGTCTCAAAAATCCTATTCATAGTGTGGTTGATGAGTGATGACAATAAGTGCTTGATGTGTGGCCAATCGACTCCTGAGTCTGTATCAGTTAAAAACTGTGACAGTGCTTGACAAAAATTTATTTTTACAGGAGGAGCCACATCCTTGCCGATTACCTTAACTGCTGCATACACAAATTGCTCATCAACCCTTGTGGCAATGTCTTCTACCCGAATTTTCTCCCAATTATTTTCCTACCGTAGCCCCACCATTTCCAGAAACCTTAGTTACAAATATCTTCTCTGACACTGGAGCTAAGGTGAAAAAAGTAGTGTCTGGTATTTTCCACCCAACCGGGGATCCCACAAACTTCTCCTGCCATGATTCAATAAACCTTTTTTCTTCCACTTTAGCAAAGAATGTGTTGGTATCCCTCAACCAGATCCTGGTGTGGGCCTGCTGCTTTCTTATCTGCAGAAAATCAAGGACACCATACACCAACTCCTCCAGACTAGGCCTCATTACATTTACACACTTCTTGCTACCCAAAATTTCAACAAGAGCTTAGATAGATTGCCTGAAGGTATTTTCTGTTTCCAGCTATGAAAAGGAGTACCTAAGTGAAAGGAATTCCTGGATGAATAATCCACTGGAATCCAAGGCAACCAATCAAACATGTCAACAATCATATGGATCTGATGGTCAAGCACAACCACATGCTTTCCCATCCCTTGTGTCAATATTAGCAGTCTAACCCCAGCAGCTTCCTTTATTCCTACCCCTTGCTCAATCACCCCATGACCTTGCGTTGAAACATCCAGGCAGTCTCCATGAGAACCCATAAGGCCTTCCATGATGTTCCCTCTCACTGCTTTCATCACACCATCTGTGGTCCCTATAGTTAAGAACTCTAATTCGTCTTCTGTGATATGATAGTGGTGCAGTACTTTTTCAGCATCACTATTGTTAGCTACTTTCATAAGTTCAGAATTATAACCGTGAACATAGCTCAAACTATCAAACCCTGCAGAGGAATTATTTTGGTTTTGCATTTCAATTTTGTCCTTTGTCTCAGACTTTGATTCATCCTCTTCTACTTCCTCAGTTTCCTCTATACAGACTGTCCATGTAGAGCTTTCCCAAATATTTGAACCAACCATTTTATCAACGGCAGATTCATATTCCATGGCAATGGACTGAATCACCACAGATGTTTTCTCCCCCGTTCATCATCACCAATGATGAATGTATCTTCAGAGTTAAGATGTAGCTGACTCACAGTCTGCTGCGGAAATGAAACTGACTCCATTTGCGGACTGTGAGAGGGGGAAATATGCGAAGAAACCTGCGGTGAGTCCTGCGAACTATGATAAGTCGCGTGCTGAGCTCTGCGAACTGAGACCTGTGAACTGGTAGACACTGTTCGCGACTGCGATTGCGAAGAAGTTCGCGATTGTGAATTATGAGATGACGTTCGCGAAGAAGCCAGATAACTCGAAGGAAGTGCTCGCGGCTGAGAGTAGACCTGCGCACGCGATGAGGTCTGCGAATTAGGCAAAACAGTTTGCGATGGCGAGCTGGGAACTTCTACGTGCGCACTTAGCGACACTCTAGGAGAATTAGTTCGTATCTGCGAACTGAAGGACGTTGTTGACGAGGACTTCTGCGAACTGAGAGACCTGTCCAGCGACGAAACCAGAGAACTTGAAGAAGTTTCTCGCGATTGAGAAGAAAACTGCTCAGTTAGCGACAATCTGGAAGAATTAGTTTGCATCTGCGAACTGAAGGAAGTCCTTGGCAACCGCGATCGTCATCTAGTCTGGAAGAGTTCTTCCATCGCAGCTAGCTTTCTGTCAAGGTTTTCCGCCATTGTTTTCATGTCTGTTAAGTTCTTCTTCATCGATGTCTGATGCCTCTCCCACGAATCCCTCATATTCTCCAGCGAATCCATCTTATACTCTGATACCAATGATAGAACACTGATAATCGATACTCAGAACAATATAGAAATCAGTAGAAATTGTAGAAGAACAGATCGAAAGTTTAATTCAATATGATGAACCGAACAGAAGGGATACAGTAGCCACAGACAATTCGAGATGCCCAGTCTCCAAGCCTATTCCAACAGAATACTTGCATGCCTTCTCCTTTCCCCCCTTCCTTACTATTTATAGTACTTCTGTAAACTGAGTAATAGGGATTAAAGATGCAATGAAATCACACTTCATTATCAATAGGTATGGCCAGTATAAATACATACAAGCTAGAGAATACAAAAAAGGAAACTAAATCTGTCAGATTTACCTAGAATATTTAGTCTATCGCAGAGAATATATTAGCTACCTTATATATACATAGAATATATTGACTATTAAATATGTATATTCTAACACTCCCCCTCAAGCTGGAGCATAGATATTAATCATGCCCAGCTTGGTACAAATGGAATTGATACGTGTCCCCGGTAGAGCCTTTGTGAACACATCTGCCAGTTGGTTTCCTGTTTTGATGTGTGAAGTGCAAATTGTACCATCTTCTACCTTTTCTCGAGTAAAGTGACAATCAACTTCAATATGCTTTGTTCTTTCATCAAAAACATGAGTATTTGCTATATATGGATAGCCGCTTGATTAACACACCATAATCTCATGGGTTCTATTTGAGCAAATCCGAGTTCACCAAGCAAATGTCGAAGCCAAACCAGCTCACATGTAGTTTGTGCCATAGCTCTATATTCAGATTCTGCACTTGATCTAGAGACAACATTTTGCTTCTTACTTTTCCAAGATACAAGGTTTCCACCAACAAAGACACAGTAACCAGTAGTGGAATGTCGGTCATTAGGGTTTCCAGCATAGTCCGCATCAGTAAACCCTTCAATAACATGATGTCCGTGGTTTTGATATAGTATCCCACGCCCTGGAGCCCCCTTCAAGTATTTTAGGATATGAGTAACTGCATCCCAGTGTGATGTTCGTGGAGTGGACAGAAACTGACTGACCACACTAACCGGGAAAGCAATATCAGGTCGGGTGATAGTCAAATAATTCAGTTTCCCAACAATTCTTCGGTATACCTCAGGATTTTTCAGCAAGTCACCTTCATTAGCGGTTAACTTTACATTTGGGATCATCGGAGCATCACATGGTTTTGCCTCAACCAAACCTGCATCATTTAGCACATCTAGGCAGTATTTTCTTTGAGACAAGTAAGTTCCCTTGTTACTACGTGAGACTTCTATCCCTAAGAAATACTTCAAGGGCCCAAGATCTTTGGTCTGAAAACAAGTAGCAAGGAAAGCTTTCAGTTTCAAAATACGACTCGCATCACTGTCAGTGATCACGATGTCATCAACATACACACCTAATAGAATGCATCCAGAATTTGAGGTAGAGAAGAAAACTGAGCGATCATAGGCACTCCTGCGTAGGCCAAATTTAAATATTGCAGCACTGAAACGGCCGAACCAAGCTCGTGGGGATTGTTTCAGACCATACAACGATTTCCTTAATTTACATACCTTTCCAGACTCCCCCTGAGCAAGAAACCCCGGTGGTTGCTCCATGTATACTTCCTCGCTAAGATCACCATTCAAAAAGGCATTTTTAATATCAAGTTGATGGAGTGTCCAATTGTAAGTAGCAGCCAAAGAGATGAACAATCGAATGGATGTAAGCTTGGCAACAGGAGAGAAAGTGTCAAAGTAATCTATACCATATGCCTGAGCATAACCTTTAGCTACTAACTGTGCCTTTAAACGAGCAACAGAACCATCAGGATTCATTTTGACAGTGAACACCCATTTACACCCAATAGCTTTCTTATTGGATGGAAGATATACAAGGTCCCATGTGTGGTTCTGATCGAGAGCCATCATCTCCTATCGCATTGCCTCTTGCCAACCAGGATGAGCCAAGGCCTCAGAAACGGTTGAAGGAACAACAATAGAATCTAAAGAAGCAATAAAGCTCTTGGAAGAAGGTGACAAAGTATTATAAGTAACAAAGGAAGAAACAGGATAAGTACAAGTACGAGTACCTTTTCGGAGGGCGATTGGGAGATCAAGGTCGGAGGGAGCAGAATTTGGAGGCGAGGCAGAAGATGGCGGTGGTACACTGGTAGCCATAGTAGGTGCCGTAGTCACAGGGCGCACACGACGAGAGTAAACTTTAAGGGGAGGAGGTGGAGGAGGAAGGAAAGTTGATGGAGAAACCTCACTAGGGGGACAGTTTCTAGCTGGCTGGTGGTATAGACTAGAAACTCATCATTAGAGAGTTCCAAGGAAGGGGATGAAGATGAACTATGCTGAAAGAAGGGTGTTTCTTCAAAAAATGTGACATCTGCAGAGATAATATAACGTCCCAATGAAGGAGAATAACATCGATATCCTTTTTGTAATCGAGAATAATCCAGAAAAACACACTTGATTGATTTAGGATCAAGTTTTGAGACCTGGGAACGCATATCCTGGACAAAGCATGTGCAACCAAACACACGAGGCACAAGAGAGAACAAGGACTGGGAGGGAAATAAAACGGAGTACGGAATCTGACCATTAAGAACAGAAGAAGGCATACGATTGATAAGGTAACACGCAGTGGAAACAGCGTCTACCCAAAATGGTTTAGGAACCCCCATGTGAAATATTAAGGCTCGAGCAACTTCTAATAGGTGACGATTCTTTCGTTCAGCTACACCATTTTGTTGAGGTGTATAGGGACAAGAAGTGTGGTGTAAAATCTCATGGCGAGATAAGTAAGTCTGAAAAGTGCTAGATAAATAGTCTTTAGCATTATCACTTCTCAGAATGCGTATATTCTTATTAAATTGAGTTTGAATTTCAGCATGAAAGGTACAAAATGCAGTAAACACATCTGAACGAGATTTCAAAGGATAAAGCCAAGTAACCCGTGAAAAATCATCCACAAATGTAACAAAATAACGATGACCAAGTTTGGAAACGACAGGACAAGGACCCCACACATCAGTGTGAACTAAATCACAACTAGACTCAACACTTTTATTTATTCGAGGAGGGAAAGTTGTTCTATGATGCTTAGCAAACTGACATGCTTCACACTCCAAAACAGACTCCCGTGACAGACTAGGACACATTTTTTGTAGTACAGAAAGAGATGGATGACCAAATTGACAGTGAACTTTCAACAGAGACGAACTTGTGCATGCAACTGATCTCAGCACCGAGGATTCAAAAACATATAAGCCATTAACAAGTCTTCCTTTACCAATAATCTGCTTCGTCCCAAGATCCTAAAAAAGACAATGAGTGGGAAAGAAAATAACACAACAGTTTACGGCTTTAGTGATCTGACTGACTGAGATTAAATTAAACGGAAATTGAGATAAATATAAAACAGAAGATAGAGAAAGGTTTGGAGAAAGAGTTGTTGTTCCAAGGCCATTGACAGATGCGGTTGATCCATTTGCTAAAGTAACATGAGACTGGTTAGCAGAAGAGGTAAATGAATCCAAAATATTTTCATTACCAGTCATATGGTCCGTTGCGCCCGAATCGATCACCCAATTGCGTGATGATGTAGAGAGGCATGCAGCAGTATTACCTGTATCAACTTGTGTGGTGGAAGATGAGGCTGTGAGAGAGTTGTTGTAGCCGAGCATACTCATCGACTGAAATAGTAACGGTGGAAGGAGTTGGTAGGATACCATCCTGGATAACCGTATTAGCAACACGCCTGGGAGGAAACTGTCCAGATGTCTGTGGTGGACGACCATGTAATTTCCACCAATTCTTCTTCACATGACCCTCAGCTCCACGGTGATAACATGTGCGAGAAGAATTACGAGTCCCTTCAGTAGTGACTGAATTGGTCCTTTTACCATGGCTCACATCACGGACTAAGGCAGCAGTATCAATCGAATTCATCATTCTGGATTCTCCATCTTTGCACTGGAAGGAGACGTCCATAGAGGTCAGAAAAACTAGGAAGGGTCCCACCAGAGAGTATTTGACTCCTCGATACCTCATATTGTGGACCAATCCCAGCCAAAACATCATGAACAAATGTTCGCTCCTCTTGTTCTTGCATACTCTTAACATCAGCAGTAATAGGGAATCGGGAACGCTTTTCCTCAAAGATCTGTTTACATTCATTGTAGTATTGAAACAGCGTCTGGTCCTTCATCTCCGGTCTATAGTAGTGCATCAGTAATTGATGAACATAAAAGAGATCTTGTTTACTGGCATACATAGACTCCAAGTATTCCCACATTTCTTTGACTGTATCACAATGAGTAATGATACTATCAATAGAGGGATCCGGGGTATTCTGAATTTGAGGAGCCATTTCAGCCATCATCCATTTTTCTTTCATCAAGATTACTTCTTGGAGGAGCCATTTCAGTTAGATGATCTCCCAGATCAAGACTATTAACATATCTTGTAATAGTCTGTTTCCACTGCCCATAATCTTTACTACCAGTCAATTTTCTCTCGGTAATTCTAGCATTACCGACCGTAATCTCAATCACGCTCTTCTTATCATCACCCATGCTTGCAAACAACTAGGGCAAGAGTGATAACAAGAACAGGGTAAGAGAACTGGTGCAGATAGTGTCCGGAAAACAGACCTGCGACAACTGTGCTGCACTATCCGGATTACCACGCCTGCGCCTGCGAACAACGTCCTGCATCGCACAAAAGAAGGCTTAACCGAACCAGAGGGAGGGAGCAGATCGAACTTCGGGAAGTACTACCCGAAGAACCTGTGTGGCTCTGGTACCATGTAAACTGAGTAATAGGGATTAAAGATGCAATGAAATCACACTTCATTATCAATAGGTATGGCCAGTATAAATACATACAAGCTAGAGAATACAAAAAAGGAAACTAAATCTGTCAGATTTACCTAGAATATTTAGTCTATCGCAGAGAATATATTAGCTACCTTATATATACATAGAATATATTGACTATTAAATATAGTACAAGCCCACTTATTATTATCTCTAATAATAGGCCCATTCCTATCACACTTATTATTATCTTAAATAATAGGCCCATTCCTATCACTCCTATGAGTCTTATGTCAATCATTATAAGAAAATTAGGGCACTGCAAGTAACATCAGTGCCAAAAGTATGTGCAGATTGAACCACTACAATTTGGTTATGTTTTCCCTTAACATCAGTTGCTTCATCTTTTTCTTTAGCAGCAGTCTGTATTTATCATTTTCCTCCAAAGCAGTTTTTCTGCTTCTTTTCATTTTCTTCATCCTTGGTCGCATTCTTCTCCTTCCTCTTTTCACTTTCTTTAGATATATGCATAAAGTTACTGCTTTTAACACTTTACAATTTGCTGATCATTTTAAACCTCTACAAGCCTTTTTCATCTTCGCATTGGCACGTTTTGAATTGGCATTACTTGCAGTGCCCCAAATCTTAGAGAATAAGCACCCAATAACTTTTCATTACAATGTGCATTATTGAGCAAAAGGGAAAACATTTTTTCTATCGACTATAGAATGCAAGAAACTCAGAGGAAAGTTAGAACATACTCTGTTTAAGATTAAAGATTTCAGGGAACAAATGATCACGGATGAAAAATTATAATCAAGATGATTTGGAAAAAATCAATCCAAACTAAGGCCAATGAGAATAGCTCTAAGTTCCAGAATCACTTGTCCAATGGGAGTAATCAATGCTATGTAAATGCAAAACTTGAAACAGAACTTATTTACGAGGCCAATAAATGGAGGTAATAGATGAAGGGAAAATTAGGTACCAAGAAACGCCGAAGTGACACTTCTCTCAAAATTATAAAACTCTCAAAACATCAGTTATTGTGAACAGGGGAGCAGTTTTGTAATTTAGAACACGCACTGACCACAGGGGCGGAGCCAGAGCACTGGGCTGGACCGGACTGGGCTAGTACAAAGAATATTTTTGGGAAAAAATTACACGTATTTTTTAATACTAAAAATACACATTTTTTAAATTTGCTTCAAAGATGTGAAGCATTAGAACAGGCGAAACATCAAAAATATAATAAGCAAGAGAGAGAAATAGAGTATGTCTATATAGTCTCATAAAGTTCAACCAAAAAACGTGATTGGAAATTGTTGGACATGCATGGGAAAGCTGAAGCACACAAAAATGGCATGGCTTTTATCAATCATTATTACTCATGTACTATGTCAAGAGAAACACTTAAAATGGAGAACAATTCAACCAAAAAATATGAAGTAAGAACATCAAGCAAATTGGGTGATTGTTATCACCTTCAATTTATTCAGCCATGCTTGAACCAGACTAACAAAGTCGTCACAGACACTAGAACCATCATTCGTATGCAGTGATTTCTCTAGAATCTCATCTGAGCTCTGCAATCAATGGGTTATGCAAGGAAATATAAAACATCCGTAGAGTTATAGAAATGGCATAGCATTTCAAATCATCGTAATATTTGCACGATTAAAGTTGGATGTGCTCCTTAATATAGGCATGGATATTAACAATATCTTACATCCCAAACAAAGAAAAACAAAAAATGAACTACAATGATGACCCTAAGCACTTAGTAGTTACTACCACTAGTGTACTTATATGGCATTTAGGGTGACCTAAATACAAGTCACCTTTTGCTATCAATGGGCAGTTAATTTTTTGTTTCACAGTTGTCCCTCTTGAAAATTTGAAACTTTTTCCCCATTAATTAAAACGTTTAAGAGCATATTATGGAAGTAAAGATTATTTTAAATTCTTTTATCATTTTTTTGGTCCATGTGAAGGCTAAATTTCCTTATAGCAAGGAAAGGAAGGAGTAATATCCAACATTGGAATCGGAGTAAATCAATGTTCTAGCATATATTGTTGGGGATTTCACATACCATAAATGAGCTAACAAAGGCATGAGAGTGTGTTCCACGGAGCGGAATTCCAAATATCTTTCCAGCAGCAACATTACTGTAACATTGTTGCCAAAAGAACATTAGGCATTCACCGGTACATTTAACTCCGTATATGAATTCAATATATGACATCAACTCATACATGATACAATCATACAACTTGTCCTGGTTTGAAATTTTGAAGAGAGCTATTGTTGAACATCTAACAGTAGTTTAAGTAACCAGGGGTCAGAGAAATACTATAGGGGCCACCATGTGTGCTAATAGATATGTCCCCAAGACAATCCATTAAATTAAATAAATATGCAATAGGATATACCAATTTACCTCGTTGCATCGAATCCTCCCATGTAGCAATACTTTGATGCTCCTATACCACCATCGGGGCCCTATTATATAACAAATACAGCAAATTTTCAGTATTAAACTATTTTCTGCATCCCAAAATGAAAGTCCCATATTTCCATTTTGGGGTTTCTCGATTTAGAAGTTCCATTTCTCTTTTTGACATTTTTTACACACACAAAAAAAACATTTTTACCCTTCTTCCTGTTTTAAATTTACAACCACAATTTTTATTGGGAAGGTGAAAAGCAATGGGCTATCTATTAGTTTTAACACACTTTCTTAAACTTTGGGCCCATAAAGTTTGGGACTTCCAATTTGGGACAAAGGTAGTACTCCGTACTAATTAATAACTTCGGTCAACTTTACAAACTAATAAAGTAATAAGTAACCTGTGCTCGTCGGAGCCCAAATTCCAGAAGTAGTTTTCCCTTCCCAGCAACAAAGCGATGCCTTGCAGCATTGGTAGTCACTAATGATGCATAATTTATAAGATTTACAAATGGAGTTTCCAACAATTGGGTCACCTAGAAAAGATAACAAGAACCTTAGAACAAGGACCAAACATGACAATAAACAATGAGAGATGTGGTTCAAAAAGATACTGACAGCAACAGGTCCTTCAATCCTCAGTAATGGCACCTTGGGAAAGACGACTGACCCTTCAGATATGGCATATATTTCAACATCTGAACAGTTAATGTTCTGTAGGTACTCAAAGAATCCATCCTAGAGTCAATTCATTGAGAGACATTCATTAGAAGAAAAAAACCTACGCTGTTCGCATGACCAAACTTAATGTGCCATTTGCAAATGCTTAACCAACCTAGGAATCTTTCTCAACTCATCACATTTAAGACTTTAAGTCGGCATATCTAGATGTGTTTCCACACACTTTTGCCAATTTAGCCATGTTAAATTCACCCGAATGCACGCACAAGTTTCTAACAAGGTATCACAATATTTTTTTAAAACCTAAATTTTGAATATAGAATCATAAATTGCATCATTTAATGATTACTTCTCATATTAGACAAGTCAAGATGATGTGCATATATATATATGTAGGTGCTAAGTTACCTCACATGTTGCTGGCAAGGATTGTCGGATAAAAGCAATCTCATCCTCTGTAAACTTAAAATTAGCAATAAGCTTTATGCACTCTTCCAATCCCGCAAAAATTGTGTATTCACCACCAAATGGATTCTTCCGGAAATACAAGTCAAAGCTGCAAGATATTACTGATTAGAGCCATTGTACAAAGATAATAAAAAAGCAGATTCAAAACAAATTTACTATACTCATACATGAAGTAATTAAGTCAGACAACAAATATGCATGCAGAACTTATAGCAGACACGTGCATTGAACGACTGAACCAACAATCTAAGAAATAAGAATAATATTCTTATCTAATGTTACAATCACAAAAACATTCATTAAACAAGATTGTAATTATTAATAAAAAAATAGTGATTTTAATTATTTAAAAACAGCAATGTGCCTCTAAGTGGAACCTTATCAGAAGCACTTAACGGTAAGATAACCACTAAAAAGTAATTGCTTAAACATAACCATTTTAAGCACAATAACAACGAAAATCACAAGTAAAACATAAAAGGCATGAAGTAGGAACTTACACTGCTCGCTCATTGTGTTTGCCAGCTTTCCAGTAAGCATAGGCCATGGTGAACTGGTAGAGATCTGTCAATAGAGGAGTAACCATGGGATTTGTGGGTCCATCGATGTTATGTCCCTCACACTTGCTCTCTTTCTTCGGTACATCAGTTACAGAAGCCATGACAATCCGAATTAAATCCTAGGATTCCAATTCCCAATCTGGCTCTGTGTACATAGACAGACTGTTTCATTGGTAAAGTGCGTACACATAAAGACAGTATCAAATAATTAATTCCATCACAGAAATAAATTGCACCTCAATGACGGTGTATGATGCCTTTTGAACAATTCATGGAAAGAGTTATATCAGGATGTAAATTGCCTGCGTGAAACACAGATTCCTCTTTATGATGTTGAGTATGCATCCATTCCTCTTCTAAAAATATTTTCCCCAGGACAAAGCAGGTTATTGATTAAGCACAAACAAACCATTGTTTCACAGCAGTACAAGGTTTCAATTGTTTATGAAAAATAATTATTCTGACCATAAATAATTTTATATCTAATACCAGTGTTGTCAATCCCGGATAGAGGAGCGTAGCGGCGAGCCCTAAAAACGCTATAGCGGTATAGCGGATAGCGGGATGACAGCTATTTAGACTACTTTCAATATAATAGATAAGTAACTACGGGAAGCATATACTCCATATAATACATTACATACACATTTTGAATTCAAAAAGTATGATATATGCCAATGAAGGTTGAAAACATCACATTCATAAATCCTAAATTACTTAAAAATACTCTTTAGTTTCATGAGCAAAACACAAGATGCTATTAAAAATTAAAACATCTTAAGTCAAAACATTGAGTCAAAAGAAAGTATCTAGTGTAAGAGTTTAAGCCTTGATAAATTAAAAGTCAAAAAAGAGAGTAGACTGACTAGACTCCATATGAGAAGAAGAAGAAAATAAGACCGCAGGTCTGCAGCAAAGGTTGGGGAAGAAGATGTTGCAGCAGAAGGTAGTACTACTGAAGGCAGAGGAGGGCAGCATGTGTCGTTCTTGGAGAAGAAGCCATCGCAGAGCAGCAGAAATAGATGATCGTCGTTCATGGAGAAGAAGTCATCGCAGAGGTTCTGAATATTTCAAAAAGAAATTGTCCTAAATAGGATTAAATGAGGTTTGCAATTCCAAAATAGGACTACTATGTTTTTCTTCCCGAAATAGGAGTTGTTATGTCATCTATGAAAAATACTGTCATGATTGAAAAATATTGCCATTAATTATAATAAATACTGTCATGTTAAATGCACTGTACTGCAACTATTTGGCAGTCACGCCTACAAGATGACTGTAAATACTGTCATGTTAGTCCTATTTCGGGAATAAAAACATAGTAGTCCTATTTTTGAATTCTAAACTCCATTTACTCCTATTTTGGGAAATCTCTCTATTTCAAAAGCTGGCTTCGTTTTGAGCTTTTAGAAGCCTTTAACGTACGTATAAGGTTTAAGTAGGTTAATATTTTGTTTTAAAAGTCTAATTTACCCCTTCTATGTCTGCCCTAAAAAATTAAACGCTAAAAATCATCCCAGAGTGCGCAGTAACCTCTTTAATATAAAACGTGCCGCTTTAGCGGCCGCAAAAGGCTTCTCCGCACCACTGCGATAGCGGGCGCTATGGCCGCTACACCCAAACGCCACGCTAGAGCCCTCCATGTAGCGGCTTCCATGTCTGCCGCACCGCTATTCCGCTATAGCGCCGCTATTGACATCACTGTCTAATACACAGTTCTGAATCTAAATTACTACACATGTGTACTTATTAACAATAGCCGGCATATGTTATAAAATTCATTGAACTAGCATGAATGATTTTGGCCATTCATGGAAAGAAATTAATTACAAAATTGAGTACACTAGATGACTAAATACTAAAAATCATAAGTTGTACAAAAAATATAACACTCCCCATAATGAAAAAAATGATCATATATTCATATGTATATAGGGAAAGTTTCAAGTGAAGAGTAAAAGTCTCTGCGCCTTTCATTAATTTAAAAGAATGGACTAGACTAAATTTTCAACAAAAATGTAGTGAGAACATTATAATCATGTGAAATATTGATCTCATACATCTATTTTTCATCAACGATTAGTTCCTTTGTTTCATCAAAGAGTACTTCTATTCATTGTTTGTAATTGCGCAATGCAATTGCGCCTCATGGCGCGCCTCAGCTAATTTTTGGACTATGGCGTAAAAGGCATAGCATATGACGTTGGGAGTGTGTTGTGAGCAAAATTGATGTGAGGCTTACGCAAAATCGCATATGCAACAAGGCGGACACAATAGTAGGTTAGGGTGTAAGGGTATTATTTGGGCTCAATCGACCCACTTCTTAACTTTTATAATTGGCGTATTCTGCTTTTATGATCCCTATTTCAAACGACTAGATAATAATGATTTGATTTTGCCGCCATCAATCTAATAAACTTAAAATTTTAGCATGTTAGGAATTTTGTTATGATAGCAGTTCAAGAATGTTTGCTATCTTGTGGTACTTTGAACATTTTACTTTGCAAGGATTATGGTCTCATTATAAAATGTTTTAATATGACATTTGATAACTTATGGTGAGTAAGTTATTTTATTTTTTATTGTGTACACATGTGTGTGTGTATTACGCCTCATTGCGCAATGAAGCTTATGCAATATGCAATTCTGGAAACCGCCATGAAGCAATACGCAATTTCAAACCTTGCTTCTATCAGAACCTAATTATATATACTCACACGCATATACATGTATATGTATATGCATGTTTAAGCATAACAGTGCTATATTGATAAAAAAATATTGAAAATAATGATGAATGAATGGTGAAAGATAGACTTTATACACGAATTAATTTTTCCAAGACACCATGGGGTCGAAAGTTGAACCCAGTGAGGCGGTATGGCACCTTTTTATCCAATTTACCATATTTGGCACCATGGGGTCCAACTTAGTCATTCTGCATTGCTAAACTATATCTGTATTACTTCTAAATTATACTCTACTAAAAAATAATGATAATACAACAGAAATACTAAAAGTCATTAAACAAACATAATAAACACCAAAATCAGTCAGAATAGGTAGAACACATATTCAAACATTAGCAAGAGAGTGAAAGACATAGTATTGACTCATGAGCAGAATACATATGCAGAAGCAGAATAATAATATAATATGGTATTAACATAGGAGTTACTACAGTAACAGATTAAGAGACGCCCAAGAAGAAAGGAGGGAAAAAAACTTGTCGAGACTCGAGAAAGAGAGAAACTTGATGTTCGAAGTCTGTGGGCAGAGCCTCAGGGTGGATGGGAAGACCGGAAGAATGAAAAAGAAGAAGAGATTGAGTTAGACTGAGAACCTGAGAGGTACATGACAGTATGAGACGAAACCTGACCCCAGAGACGGATGAGGCATACGCCTCATGATGCGCGGAAAGGCGATGTAAAGAGTGCGCTCTCTGAAATCTGCCTTATCCGCGCAATTTATAACTAAGGTTGAACCAGAGTAAGATTGAAAATTGCATACCTGGACTGGATTTGGAAGAATGCGAATTGCCTAACAAGATGCCAGAGCTGAGCGGTACAAAATTGAATGCTTGACTGGAAATGGAATGGAAGAAGGCCAGAGTCGAATGGAAGCGAAGAAGGAATTAGAATTGGGCCCCGCATGGATAGCAAATAAGCAATTGAGTTGGAAGAGAGGTCCTTCTCTACTCTTCTAATCAAACACGCCATAACAGTATTCCGTATATGGAGTACGTATGAAGTACGAAGTATTCAGTCCGTATTCACTCCGTACATTTATTCGCTGTTTTAGGGTGTTTATACTGTTCCTTATTTTAGGATGTTTTGAGGGAACTAGATACTCACCCGCGTGATGCGCGGATGAAATTTCACTGAAGTGTGATTAAAAAGTGTATTATAAAAACTCATGATAAATTGAACACAAACTAAAGTGGTACTTAAGATAATAAACGTTTGTAGTTAGAGAAATTCTAACATCACCAACGAAGTGTTAATGTAATTTATTTTGGCATAGTCAAATGTAAATATTAAAAGAGATATAACATTTGAAATTATGAAGTAGGGAGTAAAATAATAAGTGTTCATAGTGAAACTATAAATTCTGAAAGACTTCTTTGTAAATTCTGATTGATAAGCTTGATACTTTACTATTTTTTACCCTTAGTTAATAGAGTGATTGATTGCCTTTATTTTTGAATTATCTCTTTTTACAATTATACATATTTTACTAATTGGAAATAATCATATTCAAATCAATTCATTCATTTGGATTAACTCTTTCCACCAAATAAATCAAATACAACATATTTAGCTTTAGCAAAAGGAGTATTACAATTAAAAAATTACCTATAGCACTTACTTTATGTTATTGATCAGCCAATTTAAAATTTGGAACCACTTATTTTGATTTTTTCTTTTTATAACAAAATCGAATTATAAATTAATTAAAAACATATGGAGTAACAAATATAATACGTAGTACTACATAGTTGTGGGCTGATGAATAGCAGGGGTAATCTTTTTGAGCTTATAACCAACCAGCCCAGTCCGGCCACCGCTATCAAAAAATGACGTTTAACCTAGGGTTGGACACATTCTTCCGCAACTCCAGAAGCCTCCACAGTCCACATCCCTCCATCGAACATCTCCCTTACCGAGTACCGACCATCGGAATACATCATTTCTCAATTCCACTTCCGTCCCAAATTCGATTGATAAAAACCTCCACAGCGACGAACACCATACAAACACCTCATCCTCCAGTTTCTCCCTCATACTGTCCACCTCTCCCCCATTTTCAGTACTTGTCTACCTACCCTTCAAGCAAAATCGCAGACACTGTCAATCTGTTAGCCGGAAGTATTCAACCTAGGAAAGACACCCGGTAACTACGTTGAAGCTTCTCACAATCCGAGCACAAGAGAAACTTTAAAGGTTTGATTCCTATAATGTTTCGTTGATTTGAATGATGAACTGGTTTTTTTCCCAAAGCAATGGACTGAAATCATATATAATTTAGAAAGATTCTAATCGGAGAGCAGTAAGATGGGCGCTGTTTAGAAACAACTAATCATTGTTGAGAAATTCATCTGCCTAATCTGATTATATTTCAATGTTCACAACCTAGAGTTTTGAATTGAAATCAATGAAAAAAAAAGAATTGAAATCAATGATTTAGCTGATGTTGCTGATCTGTACCTAATCTGCTAATATGTCTTCAGAATCTTAATACTTGTGTATTTTTCAATATTTAAAATCTCAAGTGTAAAAACAAATGTATAGCCTACTCATCTTCTAATAATTATAATGTAAAGTAATGAATTCAAACAAATAAATTTCTGGGATTGGCTAAAATAATTGGCGTGCTTTTATCTTATACTAACATATTTTTTCAAAAAATGATAACTGTTAATTCATGTCCATAGCTAAACTCTATAAAGTTCCCTATTATATTCTTCTCTATGTGCTATATATTAAAGACTCGGAATTAATTATTGGTGACTTCTACTCCAGCAAAGATCTTGATTTTGCTAACACTCACTGACTTAACAATTGTGTTTCAAAAATGACCCCTATCTGTCATCCTAAGTGTATCTATATGCCTAATCTATACTAATGAACTAAATTTGTAGTTCTTTTTCGGTGTATATTAGGCTAAACAATGACTTCTGAAAGATAATTCATGAAAGATGAAAACATAGATTTCTTGTGCCTAGCTAAACCGTGCCCAAGTTGTACGGAATATATCTTATAATCCGCCAATATAATCTCTTGAGAGACTCAATGCGTTCATTTTGTAAAATCAAAGAACTTGCAGCAAAGTTTTGCTTTTTCTTCTTTTGCTTTTTCTTCTTTTGCTTTTTCTTCTTGTGCTTATACTTCTAGATTGTATGCCTGTTTACTTTTCTCCTTTCAGTAAGTAGTTCCTTTCCTTTCAGTATATACACACACAACACATACATATATGATTTCTATATTTTTCTTCTTTTGTTTTTACTTCTAAACTTGCATGCCAATTTGCTTTTCTCCTTTTCAGTGTGTGTGTAAATAATAAATATAAATTTGTGTGTGTATGTATATATATAGCTAGACACACACACATTTATATAAATATATATATACACACTTCGTATATGATATTCTTTCTTATTGTAGACTCAAAACATAAACGAAAGAGATTAGAGAAGAGGCAAATGATTCTGGGTGCTCATTTGTGAATTGGTGCAAGTATTTATAGCAAAGAAATACTGGTCTTTTTCCATGAAGTTTCCATAATACGCTTCACATGTCCCAAGACACGCATGCCTCAATTCACACGTCCCAATACACGCATGCTGCAGTTCACATGCCTCAAGGCACGCTTGCTTACTATTCAACCTTTTACTGTTCAATTTTGCTTTTAAAAATAGATCACTGGTTTTGCAATAAATGATCAAAAAGTTTTGAAAAGACACAATAAATAAAGCTAACTAATTCAAAACGCCATTCGAACTATTTTTGAATTAAAAGACAAAAAAGTTCTGAATAGACACTATGTCAAGCGGACTGCCCATGTTGACCCTGTATACCGACCCGACCCGTATCTGCAGTGTACTATGCATTAAATGCCTGGTTTATTGAGCCACCAAGCCTAAAGATATAAAAAACTGAGTCTCTTTTGCACTATGCATTAAATGCCATTTGATGTGCCGAGGACAAAAGTAGCTGCCAGCCCATTTGTGCATAAATGATCCGACCCGACCTGATTTATGGAATGCACTTTGGGCGGGAAAATGAACAACTTTTCTCTTGCTTTTGTATAGAGAAAGATTTGTTTACTATTCTGGAATCTTATTATCCAGAAATCTTGCAGGTTTGTTGGCCAAGCTAGAAAATGTATTATGAATAGATTTTGGGACCTTAAAAGGGTTGTCAATTATGTAATATTCATCATGAAAATGTAATTATTAATTAGCTTAGTATTAGGATACGCAGGTTCTATGATTTTGCAGTTTCAAAGGCAGGTATGAATTTCCTTACCAATATTGTTTTCTTATTTCAGTCGCTGTTATTTGCTACCAAAACGTATATATTTTGGATTAATCATTTTATAGAACATGTGATAACTGAATCGTTTGGAATAAACAATTATTTCGTTCCTAAAATAAAAGCATTTGTTTTAAATAATCGCTTTCTTTTGGATGATGGTTGTGGCACTAATAATTTTTCTTAGTTTTTGTTAGAATATATGTAACCTGGAAAGGAAAATTGCCAATCATTAATTAATTGTACTGCAAAAATTTTTAGCAAAAAATTAATGAAGGTGTATCATTGTGCTTACCCATCCTTGTTTCTTTCCTTCTGTCCCCATGAGTTATGCCTGCATTGATATAATATCATTACATAGGATACGTGACAATAGAGCATAGTCTATCACATTTTAAATTGTTTAGTAATTAGTATTAACCAAAAACTGATAAATATTCAATAGCAGCTAGTACTCTTTCTTTGTGGTTTTTTTATGAATGCATTTTAAAAGCCTACATTTTGAATATATTTAGTAGTATTTTTATTAACATATGCCCATCCTGTTGATTTTGGTAATAGTTAAACTTAGATAAACATTGCTTAGAATATTAGATTACTTGAATGCCATTGTATTGTATAACTTTCCCAAACAATATTAATCTCAGGACATACCTGTCATTGTAGAAAACAACGGCTGATTTCTACCTTGAATATCAAAGGCTCACACACCTCACCTCCAGTTCCATTGCTATGTAGTGTTGCGCTGAGGTCCCAGCTGATTAAGTTGGACCTATTTATACTACATTTTTTTAAGTTTTGAATATGTAATAGGATTACCCATTGGTCAAAAGTAAGCAATTATGTGATATGATATTTTAGTAGACCACACACTACTTTGTCTTGAGAATCTCAATAAAGTAGGTCGATATCTGTGTAAAGTTGTATTAACTAAAGTAGCTCATTCTCACCCGGCCAGATCAGTTTTAAGCAATGCATTTTTTTTGAATTTTTAATAGTACAACACATTCAATGTTTGTGAAGTACATTGTATCTTGAGCCACCAAAACTGCTTTTTACACCGTATCAAAGCTTTTTCTTGAGCCACTAAAACTGCAGCATTGGATATTGAAGCCAGCATTAATTGCAACTCTTTTTGACCACAAAACTCTTGTAACACCGTCCCCAAATGTACTTATCTTTAAGCGAATAATTTATTGAACCCTACGAAATTTTTAGAGAATTTACGAGGTTGCGAATTTGTATTAATTTTTTCGCGTGAATAGTAAAATGCACGTGGGGCCCACATCGGGAGTGGGGACCGCCCGATATTATCGGGACCACATATTTTATTCGTCTGGGTCTAGAAAATATTTATAGATGGTGGATACTTCATTTGGGCCATGGAAAGGCCCAGAGTTGACCGACCGGTCAATAGAGGCCCAAATACCGGTATCGATAAATTTATCAGATAAAAGCCCGAAATTGGATTTTGGAGACTTATAAATTAAAGTTGGGGAATGCATATTCATTCTAAATGGTATAATGATTAAGAACACGTAATATAATTATTTAACCCGATAAAATAGAACATGTCTAAAAACAGTCCGGAAAATACAACTTTCGGGGCAAATTGTACACTTTGGGACAAATTAGGATGATCTCCCACATGGGTGGGGG